TGCAAGACCTATTCTGAGGCCCGGGCCCCTCCCTGCCTACCCTGCTGAGGAGCAGGGGGTAAAACAGGAAGGCCCGGTGCCAAGTGTGCAGGACCCAGAGCAAAAATACAGTTAGAGGCCCATAATATCTCTGTCGGATATTTGAAGGTTATAAAACAAACCCAGAAACTGTGAAATAAAATAATATGATTTTCTCACCTTAACAGTTCTATCTTCATAATATAAATTGAAATATACATGTAAAGTTATGATTTTATACAACTGAAAGTGACAGAATAGCAAAGAAGACTGAATATAATTATGAGTACACATCTGGGTGTTTTTTTTTTAAGATTTTATTTATTTATTTGAGAGAGAGAGCGAGAGCAGGAACACAAGCAGGGGGAGTGGGAGAGGGAGAAGCAGGCTCCCCGCGGAGTAGGGAGCCTGATGCGGGGCTCGATCCCAGGACCCTGGGATCATGACCTGGGCTGAAGGCAGACATTTAACGACTGAGCCACCCAGGTGCCCACATCTGGGTGTTTTGTTGGTGGGCCGGTGATGTTCCAGTGAGTGATAAAACCGAATTCATACATTACTCTTTATTTATTTCATAAAATATATTGTGTTCATTTGGGGGTGGGAGGGATGGGGTGGCTGGGTGATAGACATCGGGGAGGGTGTGTGCTACGGTGAGCGCTGTGAATTGTGCAAGACTGTTGAATGACAGATCTGTACTTCTGAAACAAATAACGCAATATATTTTAAGAGAAAAGAAAAAGAAGAAGATAACAGGAGAGCAAGAATGAAGGGGAGTAAGTCGGAGGGGGAGACGAACCACGAGAGATGATGGACTCTGAAAAACAAACTGAGGGTTCTCTAGAGGGGAGGAGGGTAGGGGGATGGGTTAGCCTGGTGATGGGTATTAAAGAGGGCACTTCTGCGTGGAGCACTGGGTGTTATGCACAAACAATGAATCATGGAACACTACATCAAAAACTAATGATGTAATATGTGGTGATTAACATAACAATAAAAAATTAAAAATATATATATATATTGTGTTCATTTTAGCGAAATCATCAGAGTTATATCCTTATAATCAAGATTTGCACATCATTTGAAAGTTGGGTATCGATAGTAACAATCTGAAAGATCAAAAATAAAATGCAATTACAGGGCGCCTGGGTGGCTCAGTCGTTAAGTGTCTGCCTTCGGCTCAGGTCATGATCCCAGGGTCCTGGGATCAAGCCCCACATTGGGCTCCCTGCTCCGCGGGGAGCCTGCTTCTCCCTCTCCCGCTCCCCCTGCTTGTGTTCCTTCTCTCGCTTTGTCTCTCTCTGTCAAATGAATAAATAAAATCTTTTAAAAAATGCAATTATATTTAAAGTGCTTGGAATTTGAGTATATTTCCATCAAAAATGTAAATTAAATGCAAAGAAAAGAAAACTTACATCTTCAAAAATCATTTTTTGCCTTGAAATTATCTCTGGAAATCAAAACTATACATATTATAATCAGTGAATATCAGATTTTAAAATAAAATCATTTAAATCGAGATGAAGTATTCAAATTTTAAACATTTATAAAATTGAAACTATTCAGTCCCAGCCTTTCACGTCCACCTAGTTGCCGATGTGAAGAGTTCGTGTCACATTTCATGTTACACTAATTGGAGTAATATGAATTCTAAGATACTGTGAGATATTCTTTGGCCCCTTTGTGCGTTTATTGTGGGTACCACACTAATTCATGAGTACTCTTAGGACCACAAATTGGAATAGGGAGAAAAGCCGCCCCCCCCCCACAATAGTTGCTTGGCATTCCTGGGAAACAGATAACTTTGTTGTGTAAGAAGCTATTGCTCATTGCTGTCTGGAGAAAGGATTTGACAAGTTGCATTTGCGCCTAAACATTCCCGCCTTTTGGTCCCCTCCTGTTCCCCCCTACCTCCAGCACCACCATCTAGTGTCCCTCTTCCCCATCAGCAACAAAGCGACCCACAGTTCTTCATCGGGACAGAATCACCTTTTGTTCCTCATGCCCCAGGAATGGAGAAGGGTTTTAGGGGGGCCTGAGTGGCGTACGGGGAGCAGATTATGCTGGTGGGTCCCACGGATGTCCTGTGGCAGAGGCTCCCATATGTTCTCTGCTATGTTCGTTTGTGAGCGTGTGTCTGTGATGTGTGGGCTCCGGGCAGTAGCCCTTTTTCCCTGTGCCTCAGGGTGATCCAGGGGGTGGGAGGAGATCTCATCAGCGAGATCTCTATCATACAGCTAACGTCAGATAAATGATGGAGCTTGTCCTACGGCTGGTGTTTAAATCTATGTGTCTGCATTCACTCATGCCTTTCATTCATATATGCATTTGCTCATTTTTTTAAAACCCATATTTGCTTCCTCCAACCCTTTGTTTCATTGTGGAATGCCAGGCCATAAGCAGTCTTGTTTTTTTTGTTTTTGTTTTGTTTTGTTTTGTTTTAGAGATTTTATTCATTTGTCAGAGAGTGCGAGCACGTGCACACACAAGCAGACTCCCTACAAGGAGCCTGATGTGGAACTTGATCCCAGGGCCCTGGGATCATGACCTGAGCTGAAGGCAGACGCTTAACCGACTGAGCCACCTAGGTGTCCCTTTAGGCAGTCTTGTAATGCAGCCCCACATCCGGCAGATGAGGGAATAAAGGCTCAGAGAAGGGCACTGATATACCTAACATCACACAGCAGAAAAGCCCCTGGCCACGTTTCACAGTCCAGAGGATGGTACCACGTTTGAGTTTCAGGTAAAATCCGAATAGGTGTTACTATATCCCAGTCAGTTTCCTCAGGCTCTGCTCCCCCCAGCCACCTGCTGCGGGGCCCTGGGGATCCTGGAGGGGTTTTCAGCTTGAAGAGCCACTTCCTGTTTGGGGCCAGGCACTTCCTTCAGGTGACTCACAGGCTCCCACTGGCCCTGTGCTGAGAAACCAAGGTGGGGGTGGAGCTGGGCCCAGGCCATGTCACCTTCTGCCTGCCACCCCAGCTGGGGGACCCTGAGACCAAGCAGTGCCATAGACTGGAGGTAGGAGATGGAGATGGAAGGAGGCCCCCAGACTGTTCTCACCTGGCCTGCTGGGCGGGGCTCTGAGAGCGCAGGTGAACCCGGGCCATGGTGGGCAGGGGGCTGGCCTCCACATCCCGCCATTCCCACATCTGGCTTCCAGGCTAGCTACAGACCCTGTGCAGGCTGACAGCAGAGGCTGGGACTCCTCAGAGAGAATCTGTGACACTTTCTCTTCAGTGCAGAAGGGTAGTTAGGTGGAAAGAACAGGAGGCTGGGAGTCATGAGCCTGGATTTCTGACACCAACTTTCTCATAAACTTGCCAGCTCCCCGCCCTTCTCTGGGCCTCAATCTCCACGTGTGGGGGAGGGCTTGCCGGCTGTGACATTTTAGGGTGGCTTAGTATCTCAGGATGTACATGAAGAGATTTGGGCTTGAATTCTGGCTCTGCCACCTTGCTCGCTGTGCCCGTCTCTCCGAGTCTTCGTTTTTACATTTGAAATAATAATCACTTTAAGCATTTTACATAATTTAGTCCTCACATCAACCTCTGTGAGTCAGGTTTAATACTGTTGTTGTCATTGTTACTATTTTATAATAAGGAGATAGAGGCACAGAGAGATTAGGTAACTTGCCCAAGGTTACACGGTAAGAGTCAAGATTCTCACTTGGGCAGTTTGACCCCAGTGTCCATGCTGTTAACAACTGTGTTCTTGCTACTCAGACTGTGGCCCTTGGATCCGCAGCACCAGCATCAGCTGGGGGCTGGTCAGAAATGAAGAATCTCAGGTCCCAGGCTAGACCTCTTAGAAAGCACTGTGTCAGACTGTGTTTTAACAAGGTCTCCAGGTGATCTGTTTGCACGCTGAAGTTTGAGAAGCCCTGCTCTATTTATATTCCATCTGTCACTTAGGGTCATAATGGGAGACACAGGAAGTAAGTATGCTTTGTAGACGGTAGCGCTGGGAGAAAGCTGGGGACTGCAGGTAGAAAGAAGCAGGGTTGGGGTGCCCCAGGGGTCTGTGTCTCAGGAGCTGGATGTCTCTCCTAAGCTGTCACTGAGTCCAGCTCGGTCCCCCTCCAGTCTGAGGCTGAGACTTGGCTGTGTGTTTCTTGCCAGCGTGTGGCTCCGGGGACTGATCGGGCTGGAGAGTTCTCATGTTGGCATGGCCTCGGGCAGCGGGCCTGAGCCACCCCTGTCGTGGGTCTGCATGGCAGCAGGAGGTCTAGGTCCCAGCCCTGGCTCTGCCTCTGACTCTCTGGGAGGCCTAGGGAGGCTCCCAGCCGTGCCCTGGTGGGCTGGGCATTGTGGCAGCACCCTCATAAGCCAGCAGCACTGCCCCGGGGCTGCCTCCTCCTTTTCTCCCCAGGACCTGTTGGTGCTGTCTCTCCTCCCGGTTCCTGAGCAGGAGGGCTGCCCTGCTGGCTGTAGGAACTGGGGATGGGGGAGGCAGGGCATGAGTCAGAAGTTAGCCACATAATTGCCGTGCCCCAGATCCCGCCGCCAGCCCCCTGGCCCTCCCTCAGTAGCTGCCTTAGAAGAGCAGCTGGTTGGGCAGCCACCTCCAGAGAAGCAGGTCTCTGGGCTGCACGAAAGGGCCTCAGCACCGCACCCCCCCAGGAGCCACACGCAGCCCCAGTTTCTCTCCAGGATGGCTGGGACTTGGACTGCATTTCCCTGGGTTCCGGAGGGGGTGAGAGTGGTTTGGGGTACTGGCTGTCCTGGGTTTGGGGCTGGGGTTGGTTTGCAGGCAGCATGCATAGCGGTGGGATTGCTTGTGCGGGGTCTGGTGGCCCACAGCTGGACCACCCGCCGACTCGGCGGCTTCCCCAGGCAGCGACAAGGCGTGGCCCATCCCTGGGTCCCATACCCAGCATGGCGTGGGCGCCGCACGGGCATTCGCGAAGGGTCAGGTGGGAGAGGAGAAGGCAGGGTGGACTGATGAGTGATCTGACTGGGTTTGTCCTCTTGTCCTCTCAGCTTTCCCAGGGAAGTGACATCACCACCTCCGTGGACAGGACATCCTCAGGAGCCCCGCTCACAGCCACTGATACCTTCTTCCAGGTAAAGAAAAGAGAAGCAAAGGATAGGGGGAGAAAGGAGTTAGACACAAGTTACAGCAGGTAACACACTGGCTGCTTGTAACAGCGCCTGCCTCTCCCAGGGGGACAGCGCCTCACAGTTTACAAAAACAACAGTAATAATAATAATCCCCACTTTACAGATAAGGAGACTGAGGTCTGGTGGTATTATACCAATTAGTAAGTGGTAGAACTGGGTCTCAAACCCAGGCCGACTGGCTCTCATTGCACATTCTCAGTCCCTGTGATTTCCTGCCTCTAGAGCCATGTATTAAACTAAGTTTCCTTGACCTCCAGTTTCGGGGTTTAAAGGGCTCCCATTTCCAGGGGGGATCTGTATTTTAAAAGATAATCCTAGAGCAGGTGATGCTTCAGCCAAAGGAATGAATAGCAAATGGTAGAATTGGAGGTCTTGAATCATGGAATTGGCGTGAACCTTCAAGGTGTGCTGGGCCAGCAAATTCCTGCAGCTTTCTTCCTCAGCATTCAAGTAAGTCCAGTTTTCTTTTGTTACAGAAGGGAAACCAAGACATTTGAAAGGAGGGAAGAGAAGGTCAGGCCCCAGGTTCTCAGACATGCCTGGAAGTAGAGGGGCCGCCATCCTTCACAGGGCACCACGATGAAGAGAGACAGAGTGACAGGAAGTCAGTATTCTGTGCTAATGCTGAGGTCGTCTTCTGCTAGACCCGGAACAGATGTGTGCAAACAGATATCAGGCGTTAGGCAAAAATTGTGGGAGAAAATAATTGAGACTTTTTTGGGTAACTTTTTTTTTTCCTGTAAATCGGGAGAGGCTAATTATTATTCAGGAGCAGAAGCGGAAACAGGCTCAGAAACGGCTCTGCAGTCTAATGGTTGAAGAGGCTCTGATCTCCTTTCCTTCCACCGCACGTTTGACCAGCTTTTCTGACTGACAGATAAACCAGGGCCTCCTTGGTGCCAGGCCCAGTGCAGAGACACAGGCCCCCTGCGCAGTGACTCCCCTCGCAGGGATGGGGCCTGGGGTATCTCGTGTCCCCATTGCCCCGTGCAGGGCCGCAGACACTGGGGCACTTCAGAAAAGCTTGGCCAAATAGTTCCGAAATCTCAGCCTGGTGAACAAGGCAGCTACGGAAGCAGACAATTACTGGGCACATGGGCCTGCGATCATGTCTCGAGAGTTCTGCCGGGTGATGGGAACACAGAGACAGGAGGTGGTGGGCTTCTGGGGGGATGGGGGGTCAGACCAAGCTTTGCACAGGGTCCATTTGTTAAGATGGGTAGGACTTGAAGTGGGGTGGGGAGGAGGGCCCAGCGGGAGCCACAGGCATGGAGGTGGGGAGACTGGATAATGTGGTGTGCTTGGAGCAGAGTGGTGTGAGGAGGGGCAGGGGGAGGTGAGGCTACACAGGTAGGTGTAAGGGGAAAAGACTCCTTAAACGGTAGGCCTTGCTTCTCTTCCCATCCCCAAGGGCCTGCTTTGGGAAGCTCGTTTGTATGATAACTCTGCTGGTTTACATAAATAAACAAAATAAATCATTGCTCTCCATTCCCTGGGGGGGGGGGCGGTTAAAAACTGAGCTTGGACAGGTTTGCTCAGTGCAAATCTCTGCCAGATTCAGCTTTCTCCTTTTCCTCCCATTTGGATGCCACCGCCCCCCCTGCCCCCCTGTGTCACGGGGACCCAGGAAGAGGCCTTGGAAAAAGTCACATGCTCCTGGGAGGCACTGGGGTGTCAACTGAGGTGAGAGGTTGATGAAAGGCTCCTCCTCCTCAGGCCCCCAGGCTGACCCCTGAGGCCCCACCAGAAGCCCTAAGAATATTTGCTCACTCTGCCTGCTCTGGGAACACCCCGTCAGTGCCAGCCAGGGAGGGGGGGGTAGGGGTCCGGACAGCTTCAAGGGGGAAAGCGCTCAGCCCTCCAGGGAGGGAGGGGCCTGTCACAGGATGCCTGCAAGCCTACGCACGCCACTCTGCTGGGGAACCACCCCTAGGAGCTGTACAGGGGATTTCTGCATGAGAAGGGTGGCTGGATGGAATGGCTCCGGATCTGGTGCTGACATTTGAAATAGTCTGAAATCCAAGGATAGTTCTTAGATCCCTGTAGGACTGTACCGGGATTCCGTGATTGTACGTCTTGAGTGAGGCAATTCTAAGACCCTGGTTTAGAGAGCTTATAGCTAGAGATTTTGAGTTCTGAGATGCTAAGCTCGGCATTCTGGGCAAGGCCAGGTCACTCCTAGGGACCACTCAGCCCACGCTCATAGTCCCGACTTGGGAAACAGTGGTCCTGCCTATGCCAAGAGAAGCCAGGTCCCCCGGGCAGGATCCATTCCTGGCTCCTGTCTAGCCTGTAGCCCCAAACACGCCCAAGACACGCGGGTCCGACCCCGTAGGGCCTTCACTGAAGCTCAGCACGCCTATCCTGACCTCCACCAGCCTCTCCCCCTCATGGGTCCATATGCCAGGGATCTGGTGCTTCCCTGCAGAGCTGGCCAGATGCTTCCATGAGCCGATGCGTGGAGGCCCACGTGCGCTGGAAGGCACTGTGCACGGGGTGTAGTTGTGGCGGCTGTTGTGCAGTGAGCTTGTCTCCTTGAAAGGAAGGTTCGTGTCTAATTCTCTGTGGATCATTCTTGGCTCCCAGCAGGGCCTGCTACAGAGCAGAGGCTTCTTAAACATTGACTAGGGGGGCTTAAGAGCTTTAGGTAGGGGATAAATTGTCCCAGCGGACACAGTTCCAAGGAAGCCGTCCCTTCCCGAGGGAGAAGGAGGGAGCCCTTTCTGCGGGAGGATGGCTGTGAGGGGCAGGAGAACTGGGGCTCCCACTGCGGGGGTCGGGAGCCAGCCCGCCCAGAAGGTCGGGCCAGCTTGGCCGGCTCAGAGCGGAAATCAGAGGTCTCCTGGCACGAAGTGTTGGATAAACAGCAACCCTGGCACCACTGTGGAAAGAGATTAATAATGACCCTAATTATGGCCTGATTGATTCTTTCAGGGCTCCTGCAGAGCCCAAGCCTTGGCCACTGAGCTGCTTTTCCCCAAAGAATGGGCAGGCGTGATGGGGGGGGGGGGCTGCTGACCTGCCTTATCTTTTTCCCTCCCCCAGCCTCTCCCCCTAGGCAGCTGCCCCCGGACAGCCTCCCTTCCTTCCCTGTATCTGGCTACCTTCTCTGCTGGTTTCATTAAATCTCGGGCTTTGTGTGAGGCCCAGAGAAGTGGACCGACTTGCCCAGGGCCACACAGTGAGATGGGGGCAGCCAGATCTCCCCATTCTAGCCATCTGATGAGGCCCACAGATGGGATGGTGGTCAATGCTTGAGTACTCCTCAGAAGCTAACTGCAGAAACCCAGGCCTCTGGGCAGTGGGGCAGAGTCTGGGATTGGGTGGTCCTGTTATCGGCCCTGTCTGTCCCGCCCCCCTGCCGGATCCAGCCGTGGGGCCAGGGATTTGTCTCCTGGGTTTGGGTTTGGTGGCTTGATGAGCTGGCCAGATGTGCCCTGCTACCCCTGGGCTCCCAGAGGGCAAGGCATCTCCTGTTGGCAACAGGCCCCCCACCACCTCCAGATGGAGCCCACATGGGGCTTAACTTGCTGACTGGAGCCTGGGGCTGCCCTCAGCTCTGCAAGAGGCCCTGCTCATGCATCCCTGCCACCAGGCTTTCCTTGTGCTGCCCCCCTATCTAGAGCCCCCGTGTTCCCCCCACTTTGCCACATATCCTTCCTTATTTCCGAATTCCACTTAGATCTGCCCTCTCCTAGAAGCCACCCTGCAGTGATCAGTGCTGGGACTCGAGGAGGCACAGAAGTTAATGGGACCCAGAAGAGACCCTGACCTGGGCAGGGAAGGTTTGCTGGAAGAGGGGTTGTTGAGCTGAGCCCAGTAGGAGTTTTCTAGGCCTTGAAGATGGGCAGAGGGGCCCAGAGCGAAGGCCGTTCACAGGCACACTTATGCTGGGCACAGGGGGTGGGCAGGGCAGTGAGGAAGAACACAGGGAGTCCTGGTCTACCTCTAAGGCCATGTTCCCTGAGCACTATGGGGAGGCGTCCTCATAGCCCTGTGCCTTTTATGCCTTGGGTTTTACTCTAGGGGAATGTTGGGGTCCTTGCTGTGAGTTATCGAGCCTGTGACTACCTATCCCTTGGTCCCCGTCAAAGATGGTGGAGGCACCCCGGCGGGGGCAGCCCTGGCCTGGGGCTCAGGGTGAGTAGGCCTCTAACAATGTTACGGGCCTTCCTGCAGCTGTCATCCTCATTTTGACTGTTCCAGTCAGCGGCAGGCTCAGGGCTCCCAGCATTCATCCTGGGAAGGGAGGGGCCTCTTCTCCTCAGACTGGGCAAGGACCGTGGGGTTTGTCTTTCCCTCCTTCCTGTCCTGCCCTGTCTCTGCCTTTCTCCTGAGGCTGAACAGAGAGCAGGTGGTTAAAAGGCTTTAGGGTATGTGCCAGAAAGGCCCTGGGAGATCATCTGGTGGCATGTATCCCATGACAGAGACAGGAAAGCTGAGGCTAGAGGCTTGTGGGGTCACCCGGCTTGCTGGTCACCCGAGGCTGGGCTGGGGTTGAAGCCAGGGAGGGCAGCTGTGGCCAAGGAGAAAGGGGGCTGTTCCTCGTGCATGCATGTGCCCTGCCTCCCTCCCTGGGGTCCTGGCAGACTGCTCGAGAAGCTCAGGTCTCCTCCTCCTCCAGCCCTGCACTCATCGGGGGCTTCCCTTTTCCTCCCCTGGGTTCTCAGCCCCATTCCCTGCCCCTGCTCCCCTGGTGCCAACCAAAATATTGGGCTTGGCCCTTTGATGTGCAGTTTGCAGGGATGCAGGCGTTGTGGCCGGCGCAGACGTGGAATGCAGCAGGAATGGGCAGACCTTCCCTCTGGGGCTGGTGGCACGGAAAGACTCGGCGGTCCTGGGTTCAGATCTTCCCTTCTTCCCAGTTAGCTGTTTGGCCTTGGGTCAATCACTTAGTCTCTCCCTCCTGCCTATCTATCTATTCACCAATCGATCTATATAGG